GAGTAGAGGAAAAAGAAAAAACAACTTAAACAAAAACCAACAAACAAACAACCCAAGAAAACCCCAACTTGCTGAATATATAACATATTTTAGACACTTTACCCAGCAATGTTCAGTTCCCTGGGGTTGGAAGGCGTTTCCTCGGTTCTCCCACAATAAGAGGCTTTATTTTTTGTTCCTTTTTTTGAAAACTTTAGAGTTTGGCTGTTTGGAAGAAAGGCTCGGGATCTGGGGGGGAGGCGGGTGGAGGTTACTTATTTTGTCTTGCTTTGTATTTTTCTTCATTAACCCAGAGGTTGTAACCCTCAAAGCTGAGCGTGGCCGGGCTGCCCCGGGGGCGGGCACGGCGGAGCAGCCGGCTCGGGCTCACCTACTCATCGCTCGACATCGCCACGGACCCGCGGGTTCTTCTCTCCTCACCACCCGCGCCTTTTGAGCCAGATCATGCTGCCTGTCACAGGCGCCTGGAAAAGGAGGAGAGGATGAGCCGAGGCCAGATACCAGGCAGATCAGCGGGTTCGGAAGGATGTGGCTGCCCCTTCCGAACGGGGCTTTGCACATCTGCCAGAGGGCTCAATTCTTGCTCTGTTTCAAAAACCATTGAAATATATGAAAAATTAAGGTTGTTGCCAGGAAGGAGGAGACGGCCCACCCAGCCCCTTGAGGAGCGTGTGGGCCAAGCGACACAGCTCTCCAGAGGGACAGAGAGACATGAGCTGGAAGATGTTGCTGGTGCTAAACATCTGCTCTCCTCCTTCACCCCTCTCTGCAATGCAATTTTTAACCCTATTAAACTCGAGAGTAGCTCTGTTTTCAGTAGTGCTAGCTAAAAAGCATACATTTGCATTATGAGTCAATGACTTTAGGGATTTTTTCCTAGCTTCTTTCCCCTCCCTCCTCACCTCCATTTCATACTCTTCCCCCTCCCCATTCTGCCATCTTTATTGACAGCGCAGTGTGGACATTTGCACTTCATCTAACAGGCTTCGGAGATAATTTTTGTGTAACTAAATTGTTTTATTAACTCTGATGCCTCTTAAATGCCTCTGTAATTTGACTTTATTCCCCTGACATACATTTTTAATTGGGCTGCAAATGCCATTTTGCCTAGGCTTTATATCAGTCTTGGAGCTCATGTTAGATTTTCACTGGTACTTTTCTAAGGTGGAGTCTGTTTTCTCAGATTTATCTTTCTCTCTCTCCTTTTTTTTTTTTTATTTTGTTTATTTGTTTACTTTCCAGGTATTAGTTAATATTGGCAACCATTTTGATCTCGCTTCCAGTATATTTGTAGCGCCAAGAAAAGGGATATATAGTTTCAGTTTCCACGTGGTCAAGGTCTATAACAGACAAACCATCCAGGTGGGTTCTGATCTAAAAAAGATGCTTTCTTTTTTTTTTTTTCAAATGCTCATTTCTAGCCACACATTTACCAAAACAGCAGTTGAAGAATGAAACTGCATGTTATTTTTAAAGGGGTCTATATGCATGACAGAAATCACACATCACCTTAACTTGATTCAACCGATTCTAACCTGCACAAAAGTTCAGTGATGTGCACAAAGCAAAAAAGGCATTGAGAGTTTTCTCAAAACTCAGATTCTGTCTCTTTGCACTTTTTAGGTAAGTTTAATGCAAAACGGCTACCCAGTGATTTCAGCTTTTGCAGGGGATCAGGACGTCACCAGAGAAGCAGCCAGCAATGGGGTCTTGCTCCTCATGGAAAGAGAAGACAAAGTGCATCTCAAACTGGAAAGGGGAAACCTCATGGGAGGGTGGAAATATTCAACCTTTTCTGGCTTTTTAGTCTTTCCACTATAAAAGAAGGCCAAATAGGAGACAGATCCATGAGCTGGAGCAAGGATTCAATCGTTAATGACACCCTGAACTTGGCAGCACATGACGATATTTTCAGTCACCCTGTCAGACTATCACAATAGAAGAATTATAACCTTCTAAACTCCAACATTTGGTTTGAATATTGACAATTCCTTGGGAACCTGCGCCTCTAATTAGTTTTAGACAACAGTGATCTTTAGGAGAAATGAAATTATCGACCTGAGCAATTTGTACCTGTGATTGTAAAGTCAATTTTGGATTTTATTGTTGGGATCATTGACTTTCTTATTCTTTTTCATTTTTTCCCTCTCTTTCATTTTTTCCTCTTTTTCTTGTTGTCCCAATGAGACAAATAACTTGGACCACAGAATCACTTTGGCAAAGGCTTGCTCCAGAGCCAGAAGAATGGAGTGTTCAGCCCAATGAGATGTTCTTTCCATTCTTTATTTCTTTGTGTTGTATAGCCTTAAGAAAAAAAAAAAAAGAAAAAAGAAAAAAGGGAAAAAAAAAGAATGGCTTCAGTCTCAGTCCTGTATTTTTCTGGGGGAGGGGGATTCTGGACATTACTGTGTCAAGAAGTGCTTTATCCAGTGAAGCAAAATTTGCACGATTGGAACCTTATTTGTGTTGTTCGTGTTTTTCATCGACTTTTTATTTTTTCTGGTTTTTGTTTCTGTGTGCTAAAAATGTAAACTAGATTGATCAATAAGACAAAAGAAAGCACATATATACCCTGTAGCTCTAAGTAAAGCTAACCAGTGAACAATTCTATCTGCACTTTCCAGCTGATCTTTATAGACCTATTTAGAGAGAGAGAAAGAGAGAGAAAGAGCAAAAGAGCTACATGATCCTTCAATTACAATCTGGAAACTGGTAAAGGAACTGACATTTCTGAATTGTCCTGACATTTCTAGAAGCAACAATGGAGGCTTTGAATATCTTCTCTGACCATACCCTAAAATATATCCTTTCTTTGCATTATCAAGCATATTTTGGGTGCTTTTATCTGGTATTTATTTGATGTATTTGTCCACTAATGCTTGAGTGCACATTGTAGGAGCACAGAGAGATGTCAGAGCAAACTCTTCCAAATCAAATAAAACCATCTCCACTTGAGCTGTCCATGGCAAGTATCGGAGGAGTTGACACTAGCATCTTTGACAGCCTTGGGGAGAGGGGCCTCAGAGGATCCACAGATGCTCCAGAAATTGAATGAGTGCCATGCATTTATTAGCTATGTGTGCTCTTCCCAAAACAAATGGCGTCAAAGTTGTGGGGGTGGACTGACATCAATATTGAAGGTTGGTAAAAGTTATTATCCAAATCAACAAGAGGTAAAATATCAGGCCAACGTCAGTTGTATCCTGTTGCCTCGTTCTCAATAAACAGATCTTGTTTCTTCAGTTTTTTAAGGGTTTTTTTGGGGAGGTTTTATTTTTTGTTTGTTTGAGGGGTGGTTTTTTTGTTTGCTTGTTTGGCTGGGTTTTTGTGGATTTTTTTTATGAAGGTTGGTGTATTAGTGTGCTGAGGAAAATCTTGTTTGAGGAGATCCAGAATGACTGTTTATTTTATAGAATTTTAATCTTAATTTATTTAATTTAAAATATTTAATTTGCTATTAATCCCCAAAGAGTGGATGTGTATAAGAATTTATTTTTGTCAAATTTACTCCTGTGCCACGAACAAATATAATGCAAAGGCATTTGCAGGAAATCGGTGGTATCTACATTGTATTTCAAAATTATGGTAGACATGTCATTTTCACTGTAAATTTATCATTAAAGGTACAAAATCAATTAAAGTCATATATTCTTTAAAAAAACCTATCTGTGTTGCTTATATACCTCAGATGACTAAAGCATTAACCAATTTAATATTTAATATTTTTGTGTATTTTCACCATTGATGCTGTTTGTTTGCTTTCCTGTTTCTCTTTGCCAGTTACTGAATGAATTGGTTTCAGGTTTTGTTTTTAATGGTTTGCATTTTCTAATTACCCCTTGTGTGTGACTGCAGTGTTTCTAGTTGCAAAATATCGCAGGACTATGTTTAAGTACATGAAATAAAACCTGGGTCAGCAGCAACCTTTTTCTATTGAAATTAAAATACAATAAATACAGTTGTCTTAATGGTAGATATTGTAAAGATACTTTTTGTGTTTAAAATTTGATCATGTCTCTGAAGAAAACAGAAACTGGATTGGGTTCAAGGTCCCAATTTTTCGGTTTCTAGTACATTTCCCATGTTTTATTTTAAAATTCTGCCTACCATAATCATATCCACTTGTCTCATTCATTTCAGTTTGTCTGCCTTGAATAAGGCAATGACATCGTAGTTCGGTCTCTCTCCTAAGCCAAATGAGGCCAATGACAGGGTTTTTCTTGGACCTGTTCTTGAAAGTTTCTTGAAAGCTCATGGAGCTGCAGAATCTGAAAATCTCTTTTAATGTATTCAAGATCAGTAATATTGACTGCTTATTTTATAGAGCTAAACATGTTTATATGTATGATAACCAATCTTCTTCGGAATTTAATGAATTTAAAATACTACTTTTCTCCCTCTGCTGCTTTTGTGTCTTTCATACTAAGCTATAGAGCTAGTACTCTTATATAAAACAGTTAAATTAAATGGAAAATGTGGAGTAAATTCTAATTGTACACTAATTGCAGTCATGATCTCTCCTTTTATTTCTTTTGTGTTCTTTGTAATATTTGTTGTCTTTCCCCTTTTAATTTTGTATCTGAGTTTGCGAAGGTAAAATCTACTTTTTATTGGAAACAGTAGACATTTTGATATTTTTATAAGGTGCAAATCTCATATGTTATGGGGGAAAACGTACAACAGCAGCACTGTAGATTGAAAGGAAATATTATGTGAGACCAATTAAAGGAGCCTTGCAGCACATTAAGAATAGACTTATCTAAAGTAACTTATATAAATAAATTGATTGGGTAACATTCAGAGCTGGCGTAAATTTAACGTTGAGGGACACCGCGAGAGTTAGTAGGTGTAAAATACATATGGTAGTGAAGCAGGCCAACAGCGCAATAATGACTGGTTCCTGAGGGAGCAATAGCACAGTATTCCTTCCAACAAATTTCAGTCTTTCTCATAAGCTGGTATATAACACAATCATAAGCTACTCCTATGAAAAAGCTGTCTGTTTGGCTGCTTCCCTTCCAGGGCGTTCGCTAGTTTTGGTGTTCACTGTTTTATGGTTTCTTCAGCCTACTTACAGCAGGGTAGAAGCTAGGAACTGTGTTAGGAATGATAATTTCTCGTCATATACATTGTTGCCTTCCTCTTGGTTTTTAAGTTTTATATCCGTAGTTTGAACATGGTCTTGCCAAAGCCTGTGTGCTCTCACCTGCCCCTGAGACAGTGGGTGTGATGGATGTGCAGTGTACCTCATTACTGGTCAGCATCTTGCAAGCTGGATCTGTGGGAGGAGGAGAGAGACAGGACATGAAACTAGGGAGTTGGTTAGAAGTTATACTGTGTTTGTTGGCTGTGACTTTTTTAACTTTTAAAAAAAAACATTTTGATTTTATTGACCAAATTTGTTTCTTGGAAAATATATTAAAGTAGAAGATAGGCTAAAATGGCTTGTTTACTGATTGAGTTATTCAAAAATCGCTGAAGGCAGTTTCATGTCCTTATAATGTCACATTGATTTCTGAAATAGTCAGAGTCACAGGTAGAATTGCTTAAAAATAGCTCTTATAATTAATAGTCTGCTTCGATCCAGAATAAGTTTCTAGTGTTAATGAGCACTCAAAAATCAGTGTCATTAATATACTTCATCGTTTTCATTGGTAATGACTTGTCATTAAACAATTAGATATAAATAAAGAAAAACAATTGATTCACCTATTTTAATATATTGTTGAAAGGCCAAGGAATGTCTTTGAGTCATTACATAGTTTCTAGATTTGGAAACACTCATTGTCTTGAACCATTGTTGCAGGATCATGTTTGAAGGGGAGTCATGTCCATTTTTAATCATAGTGGCAAATTATAATTCATTGTAAAATACCCAGTTTCTTCACGGAGCAGCTTCTTTTATTTGACATGACTTCACCTGTCAGAATGCTCACCTGACAGAATTTTATGGTTCCTGACCACCTGTTAGCTAAATCACATTAACAGCTTATAAACTCCTGAGGATTATTGATATCCATTGCAACTGTAGTTGGACACAGACTAGGTGGCTGGGCAGATGATGGACAAGCCTTTAGATCCACTGTTTATATAATCAAATATTAGTAAAATTCAAGTGTTCCATAGTAAAATAAATACATTATCATTTCAGCAAAGAGACTAATCTTGCTTGTTTCACTTATTTCAGTAAAGTCATTTCATCTTATCAATGGACTTTACTTGTGTGCTCCTCAGCGTTAAACTTACACCAACTCTGAATGTTACCCAATCAATTTATTAATATAAATTACTTTAAATAAGCCTACTCAGAGTGTGTTTGGAGGCTCCTTTAATTGGTCTCACATAATATTTCCTGTTCCAATCTACAGTGCCGCTGTTACGTGTTTTTCCCCTCTAACAGAAAACGTATCATGATATCCACACCTTATAATTATATCAAAATGTCTACTGTTTTCAATAATAAATAAGAGGAGCTTATGAAAATGTCAGTAGTATTGTGCTTGAATTGTAGGGTTTGGATTTTGGTCATGAATTAATATTACATTGACTTAAAAATCAGCGATTGTCATCAGTGCAAACCCTTAATTAACACAACTATTCTTTAGTTTTGAGTTATTTCAACACTAATCGTAATTCTGATAAGAAAAAGTCTATAAATGTATTTTGAATGCATAATTTAAATCTATTTTTAAATCAGTCATGTTTATGGTCTTATCCAACATAATCATGATCTTATTTTCTTATTAGCTATTATTAATAAAATCCAAAGACCACTAGTGGTATTCTATTGTATTTGAGTGTAAAAATAAAAACACACTTCACAAACCAAGTATATCTAACATATCCTGTTTCTCAGGTCATACCTTAACCTATTTAGTAAATCCTCTCTGCTATTCATCAGCAAAATAAAGTTGCCTAACTTGCTGGTTCTGTGCAGAGCACGTACCACAGATGGTATAAATAATGGCCTAACAAGACACGGAGAGGCAAGAAATGAGTACTATAATGAATTCTGCTTTTAAAAAAAAAAAGTCTGCATCAACAGAAATTCAGGTTGTATTGACAAATCCTCCAAAACTCAGGAAATACAAAAGTTAAGTTTTTAAACTAATGTTTCTGACTTATCCTACTTCCACTGTAATAATGAAGTGTTATTTTTTCTATAGGAATCTAAAAAATAATTTAAATTGTTTTGTGATGTCAACTGTATTAAAAGACATTCAGCGTATTGATATATTCAATGTTATACATATTCAACTAAAACCTAAGTTCATCAATTAGTAATTAGTAATTATGTAACATTCTGATTTCTGCCAATATATTTAAATTAATTGAAACTACCCCTTTGA